TTTTTTTTGGCGCTGGGGCTGCCCGGAACCCTGCCCGGGGGTCATGCCCGGCCGGGCACCCGGGCGTGTACCCGGGCAGAAGTTGGGTGCCCGGGCGCCCAGGAAAACAGCCTAGCATTACGCACTAAAAAAAAAAAAAAAAAAAAACGTAGCAAGGATGATATTGCTGTGTTAAGAGGTAATCGGGAGGCAGTGATACTCAGCACTGTCAGCAGCAAGAGACAGTTGGGATTTCAGAGTGGCAATGGAGATAGACATGAGTATGTTGGGAGGAAGACAACCCACCAAGTCACCAACTCCTTCGATCAGTGGTTGAGGTGTTGCTGAAATAGCTTCTGGAATGCTTCCCAGATCAACAGACAGGGCAACAGAACCCTTGAGCCTCGTTGAACCAGCACTCCTGTCTGCAAAGAGCACTCCGTTAACACCGAGAATAAAATCCGAAGGCTTCATGATGAAATCGAGACCCTCCAATTTACACCTTGTCTGCATGAACATCACCCAGATGGAAGGACAACAATAGCAACCAGACAGCAACACATGCAAACACGCACAGTATGCACGAATCAATCCCAGGCGTCTTCTTTTCAAAGTTTTTTTTTAATAATTTGAACATTTTTCGATTTGTGTTTCATGATAACTTTCATCCTTTTTTTTTTTCGTTTTTTTTTTAACGAAAAACCCAGGTTGTTGTAGAGGTGGGATACTAGACCGRTGGCAGTCACCCACAGTACTCACCCACTCGGTTGTCCAGCTGAACCCCTCTGAAGACCCCACCCACCCTTCCTCTCATCTTTTTGCCCTGGCGCACGCCCAGGGGCCATGCTAAWCTTCTCTGTATCGTTCCAATTTTAACGGCTGTCCCAGGTGTCTTCTTTAATCTCCCATTAAAGTTAATTGAAAAATGCAATGCCACAGTAGGGTAGCAACAACACCACCTTAAACCACCACTCCGCTTCTCACCTATCGTGCTTCAGCGCAGCGGTTAACCAACCACGAAATCGCAGGCCAGGCCTACCGGACGGAAATGGCTAGCATCGCCTGGAAATTTTGTGCCCGCACCAGTTTGTAGTTCTGTGGCACACAGCAGAAATCCGCATTGGAATAAAAGAAGTCTGAGATGTACTGGTGATTAAACCGTGATTTAACTCCGACTGCACAGATGGAGAGAGAGGTCATCTCCCATCTGGCTGGCCCAGCAAACACAGCGGAGGAGGGACGTGGACTGTGTTTTCTGGCTGACCCAGAAAACACAGAGGACAAGGGGAAAAGCGGACTTGAAAGCGCATACCATCTTCAATCGAATAGAACGCCTGGTCACTATAGCAGCTGCATTTGGAGCACCTTTCAGTCCCGGTACAACGGTAATGACGGGGTGTTCTATTCAGGTGACGATGGTAGGATACAAACACCACCTTAGCTTGTACTTCACAGTTGAAGAGGGGTCATCCCATTTGGCTGGCCTATCGCTTCCATGACGTCCTTGGGCTCAGCCCTAGATCTGTCTCAATACAGCTCAAGCTCAAACCAGCAAGATCCTAATTTGGAACTTGGAACCTCTTGGGCCTTGGCATAGAAAGATACAGATAATTAGACAGAGGGGGCCAGGTAGAGGTCATCTCATTTTGGCAGGACCACCACTTCCATAGCTTCCTTGGGCTCAGCCCTGCTCCTACCAGCATCACTAACACTGATAGGGGTTTCTTAAAAAAAAAAAAAAAAAAAAAAAAAAAAAAGCCCTTGCTAGCCTTGCCTCAACGAAGCAGCTCAAGGTTAAACCAGCAATATCCTGAATTGCAGTTTGCATATCTTGTAGAGAAAGACATACGGAAAGAGAGGAAGGTCGCAAGGCACAGGCGTTGGAAAGAGAAAGGTAGATCTACAGTCCCTTTTGCCGGATGTGCTCATAACAAGATAGACTCGCCAACTTAAAGGAGGTACTGCAGGATGATAAGGTGGGAGGGAGAGGAGGGAGGGAGTCGAGAAGGGAGGAACGGAGATGACGAGGAAGGAGGGAATGATGGAGGGAGGAACAGGCACCAAGGAGGACACAAAAGCATTTGCACACAGAGGTAGAAAGGAAGTTAAGTTACTGTAGTGGAGCGAACGGCTGAGATCAAGTTTGAGAAAAAGGGGGAAGAAAAGATGGACCCCAGATGCAACTCTTAATATACAGTCATTAGTTAGAGTCCTGCTTCACTCAGATGGACACAATATGGTTAGGTGTGTGCACAGGCCTACAGGGTCCTATCATCCCGGAGCTGGACGTCCCACTCTGCCCAGGTCCGGGTCCAGGTCCAGGTCCAGGTCCAGGTCCGGGTCCGGGTCTGCGTCCGGGTCCGGCATAACCATGGGTTACATTCAGACAAAGCACAAGACATAATGGCCAGGTTTATATGCAGTTCATCTTCGGTGAAGTTATTAAACCACCACTAACTTTCAGTTTTTTTTTTTTTTTTTTTTTTTTTTTTTTTTTTTTTTTTT